CCCAGCACCAGGCGCAGCCTGCGTGAGGCTATTGGGGGCCACGCGAGAGCAAGGGGGCCGCGTCCTTCTTGCGGGAGCTCCCACGGGGCTGGCCTCTCCCAGAGGCACTGGGAAGGCCCCGATTCTGCACGAGTCCTGCTGGTGCCGTCCGCGTTGAGCACGTGCAGGAGTGTTTTCAGGAGTCAGGCCATTGCGCGTAGGAGTTGCGGGGGAGGGACTATAAAAGGCAGCTGCTCCAGAGCATTTACCATTGCAAGTCAGGCCCATTTGCATTAGCTGGTGCGGTCCGAAGGACACAGGGTGCACTAGGGTGGGGATGAGTCTGGTAAATATAATAATGCCACCATATAAATAAATGGTGCAGGCTCATCTGGGTTACTGTGTGCAGGGTGGTTACCCCAGCTAACAAAACAAATGGCAGGATTAGAGTGAATGAATGAAAGAGTGATGAGAATGATGAAAGGCCTGGGAAAACTCATTTGAAGGCTGAAAAGTTGAGGGCTGTTTAAGGTAGAAAAGAGATGAATCAGAGGGGACATGATAAAAGTATGTAACATGAGGAGTTATCTACAGAAGGTACATCAGGGTGCCTTTACACAGCAGTGCTTAACTCGAAATAAGCTATGCAAATTGACCTATGTTAATTGTGTAGTTTATTTCAAAATAGCTTATTTTGAAATTGTGAGAGTCTACATAGCACTTATTTTGAAATAGAGCACTCTTCCTCTGATTTCCCTTACTCCTGTAGAATGAGGGTTACAGGAGTTGGAGTAAGAAGTCCTCTAGCTTGACTGTATTTTGATATTATTTTGAAATAACTGCCTGCTGTGTAAATGTGGACTAAGTTATTTTGAAATAATGTTTCTGTGTAGACATATGCAGAATACAAGAACAAGAGAGTGTTTAATGAACTGAAAGGTGGCAAATTCAAAGCCTGTAAAAATTCCCCTTCCCCCATGCAGAGTTGTGAAATACATTGCCAAACAATGTTGTTGAGGCCAAAACTTACCAACATTTACCCTGGAATTGGATAACAATAACAGCCAGCATTGTTACACTGAATGCTAATGTACATTTTGTAAAATGTAGTAAACTTTATAATTCAGGGTTTAAGTTAAGATTTAATTATTCAAGATTAGGAGGCAACATGGTAGGGGGCAGATTCAGTATATCTGTCTAAAGTTGCTTGCATGCTACTTTGAAGAATCAGATGTTGGTCACTGTCAGAGACAAGGTACCGGACTAGGTGGTGCATAGAAATTTTTGTGTTTCCTGTGTGATTACTTTAATCATGCACTGACCTCGATGACACCTACTATGTGAGGATTTGTGTCTTGGATCTGATCCTGCAACGAGTTCAGCATGAGTAAATCTTTGTGACTCACTTCAGTAGGGAACTTCCCAGCCACCAGGATATGTCCATGCTGAACCCACTGCAACACTGGGGTCCAAATTAATGAAAAAATGTATTTGCCTTTTTGAATAAATAAGAAAAAAGAGATTTCCTCAACCTTGTTCAAATACAGAATTAGAACAAGATGCTTTGCAGCCTTCACTATAGTTTTTGGTATCACAAAGTGCCCCTCAATATGTCTGACACTACATGTTTCAAGCCCAGACTTACCGTTAAAACATGGGGTGGTGGTAAGCAGGGTTCTGTGTCTCAGTGGACATTGCTATATATGAACAACTGAGCTGGGACAGATGAAAGCAAGTAAAAGGAACATTTAGAAATAAGAAAAAATAAACCCTTCCCTGCATTAACAATGTCTTTAGAGCAGGCATTCAGCATCATGAAGAATAACTAGTAAATCTAGGTCTGATCTTGCAGACCAGAATACTATGAATAGAGCTTACTATAGACATAATTCCATCAGTGAACTCATTGGGGCTACATGTACGCTATTATGTACTATTAGTGAACTTAATAGGACTTGAGCATGTTCAATACCTTAGAAGAGGTGTTCAGTTCCTTGCAGGAAGAGGATTTATAATCACATTATATTTTATAGGCTTTAAGGGCCTCAGTCGCACAAACACAGTAGTGTACTGGTATAACTATTTTTGTTAGAGTTATTACTATTATTTATCACATACTTATATTAGTACAGTCCCTAGTGTGGATGCAGTTAAATTGGTCTAAGGGTGCCTCACACCCTCTAGTGCTGCTTATTCCCCTTCTGTAATAGGAATAGTGCACTGATCTAAAGCACCTTTACAATTGGTATAATTTTGTCAAGTCTAGGGGATTGTACCGCTTACGTACATTTTGGAAGATGTAGTAAATTATATTGCTCTGAAGTAGCTTGCACATTCCTTTAAAACATCGGTGATATTGGCCACTGTCAGAGACAAAGTACTGGACTAGGTGGTCCAATATACTGGGAGGAATTTAAATGGTACAACTTTTGTTTGTAAAAAAGTGCTTATACATATGCTTAACTTTATGCACCTGAGATGTTCCATTGGGACTACTCGTGTAGAGTTAAGCGCAAGTTTAACTGTTCGCAGGATTGGGACTATGTTTTTAGAACATCAAAAAAAATTCCTAAAAAATCTTTGAGCTTTTTGTAACGTAAAATGTGTTTAAGTATTAATACATGTTTATTCCTTGTTTTCATGAGACATTGTGCAATTCTTTTTGGAAAAGTATTTGGGTGAAACTAGCAAAAGTATATTTAAACAAAATAAATTAGTTAACTTTTGAAAACTTAATCCATCTTAAAACTCTTCAAGTATTGAGTAGATTTTTTTATAGCCAATCCATTTTGAATTGAAAAAAGCAGAGTTGAATTGAGTAAAAAACAATAATAAATCAGTAAACAAGAAGGAAGTGAAGCAATAAATCAGACCTCCAGCTGGAGAGCCTGCCAGATGAGCATGATTATTATTAGTAGTAGTTGTAAATGTTTGTGGTATGATAAAGACTCAAAGGCCCTAATTGTGACTGGAGTCCAGCTGTGAAAAGTGCTGTACAAAGAAATAAGAGCAGTGAGGGCTTTTGCTGTACAAAAATAAAAGAGATGGAAGATAGGAGACTTTCTTGGGGGCCAGTCCAAGACTTTGGAATGTAGTCCCACAGAAACAAAGTTACATCACACACCTCACCATTCTCTGCTTTAAGTGCAAGGTGCCTTTCTTTGACCTTGCCCTGTGTTAACATAAACCCATAGGAAGGGGTGTAGATGTATTTTTATATCTAAATATTAAAATTTCCAAACAAAACATTCCACTGCACACATGGGACAGATATGTACTCACATTGCTTAATGCACAACTGGAAAGTGCTCAGATGAGCTCAGTATAAAGAACTTATCTAGAACAGAAGTGCATAGGAGTTGGGGATATATGTTACAAGTCAATGTGTATCGTGAAGAATTGGCAGAACTTTGCTAGTGTCATTGTGTTGGTGGGGTTTTCTGTGTTTTAATATATTCAATTGGGGTACTGGTAGAGTGAGGAATGGAGAAGTCAGTAGGAGTTAGGGCATGATAAAGAAAGGAAAGTGAAGAAAGATGCTCACAGCTTATCACATGCCAGTCATCATCATGAGGCATCACAGCAGAGATGAGTCTTACCTAGGGATTTGGAGGAGGAGAAGGGAGAAGTTTATATGGATGTCATCATTCAAACCCCGTTGCCAGCTTTGTCCACATATTCACTCTGCTGATACCATTATTGGACCTAACCAAGTGAGTTATTAGATCAAGAACACATATTGCTGTGCATGCAGAAATATAATTTATGCTATAATGTGCCAAAAGTGTCCGACTGCTATGTACATTGGACAAACGTCTCAGACACTTTGCCAAAGGATCAATGCCCACAAAACAGATATTAGACAGGATCACAAAGAAAAAACAGTTTCTTGCCATTTCAACCAGTAAGGACATTGTCTCAATGACTTGATTACCTGCATCCTGCTTCAAAGGCCTTTTAAGACTACACTTGAAAGAGAATCCTCTGAACTGTCATTCATGCTTAAATTCAACACTTTACACTTAAGTTTGAATAAAGACTCTAATTATCTTACCCATTACAAAGATAGCTTCCCCAATTATTACCTCTAATATCATTAGCTCACAGACATTTACCTCCCCCCCATCTCCCTTCTGTTCTGAAATTTGATTTGTCCTTTTCATATGTGTTCATTTTTTAATTGTATCCTTTGGTATATATGGTTGTGACAATTTTCTTCCACTATTTGATCTGAGGAAGTGGGTCTGACCCACGAAAGCTCATCACCTAATAAACCATCTTGTTAGTCTTTAAAGTGCTACATAGTCCTGTTTTTTATTTCATCATTCATAAAAGGCAGCATGGGGAAAAAAGCACAGAGGTGTGTGAACACTGGAGTGAAGGCACAAGTTGATATTGCAATACATTACTAGATCAAATGGGTAGAGCAGATCTAAATTATAAAGGTAAAGTAAAGGGGGATTTTCAAAAGGGCCCAAAGATTTAGGAGCATATGTTGCATTAAAAGTCAATGAGACTTGTGTTCCTAATTCTCTGAGGTGCTTTTGAAAACT